GTCAAAGGATATTTGCGCACGGCAAGTGTGCTAGAGAAGATGGAAAAGCCCGAGACAGCCATTGGGATCTATAAGTATGGTATGAAGAATGTGCCAGTTAGCGACAAGAACTTCAAGGTATGTGATGTGATCCTGTTCTGTCTTCCGGTTCGTTTGGAGGCAGTACTTCCGTTGTCAACCTGAAAGAGGGCCCAATTGGCCTGTCACTTTTCTCATCAAAGAATGGATGCTGTTCGCTTTTCACTTCAGTGACGTGACTGACTGCTACTAGCTATTGCAACAACTCCACGACAAGCAAACACGCAAACTATCACCTGCATCAGCCATCGACCCATTGACAGTCTTGCCTGCTGAGTTAGCGGAGATGGTACTGGAATATTGTTCTTTCCGCCACATGGTCAATTGCATGCGCGTCAGCAAAGGGTGGCGGGACTATCTCTCTAAGCTGCCCAAGCTTTGGATGCACCTCGATCTTTCCGGTGCTCGCAGACCCGTTCCTCGCTCCTTCATCAATATCGCTTTCAAACGCTCAGAGTTCCGCATGACACGCGTCACTGTGCATCGCTTCGAACATTTGGACGTCATCAAGAACCTTGCGAAGGCCGCCAAGGACCTTTCAGAAATGGAGCTCATCTCTCTACCACATACCATGCCAGCTATGTTACTCGATATTGTCAAGGGTGCTCCAAATCTAAAGACACTCATCATACATCCGGAGATTCGCGGGGTATCTGCTGTGGAGATAATGCATGCTCGACCTGCGCTGGAGCACCTAGTCCTCAACTCAACGAGGGGAGTGGCAAGCTCGTCAAATGGCTTGGGATCCGCCACTAACTGGGCAATCTCATTTGGAAACCTCCGAACACTTAGCATACACTGGAGTCATCAGATCATGGCGACTCATTTCGGACTCACCGAATTGCTGAGCCGTACACCATGCCTTGAAAACTTGTCACTCTCCAACATGGAAGGCTTTCAATTCGGACAAGGGTGGCCCAGAGAAGTGACACAGCTGCCGCCGCTAAAGAGTCTAGTGTTGAAACGGGTGGACCTTCAAGGCTTCCCATTGCTGCCACCAACACTACAGCGACTTGTTCTTGACAACAATGGCAGCCACGGGAGCTTGAATTTAACAGACTTTGGGAGCTTGAAGCGGTGCTGTGTCCCAGAGCTTACAGACTTGACCATATCTGGCTTCGACGGCCTCAATGCAAATGCGAACGGAATAGAAGTTCTACTAGAATGCTGTATGCAAAACGGCGAAACGCATAAATGCTTGTCAGAGAAAGCCCTTCATTCATTGTCACTACACGGCTTACTCGATGACAACAGCCGATTGTTTACTCCGCTGAGTCAAAACTCGATATTAGGTCAATCACCGCGGATTCTCACACCAGCGCTTGAGTCCTTGGATATATCCACTATGCAATGCGACGACGATGAAATCGAGGCACTTCTCACCTATAAGACGGGACTCAAGACGATCGACTTGTCTCATACTAATATCACAGGAGCGTCCATCAAGATGCTGGCGGATAGGCTTCCAACGCTGCAGAGCATCAAAGCGAATAATTGTACCAAGATCAATGGGCGGGATGCTATTCATTATGCAGAACGAAAGGGGATATTAGTAAGTTGCCAGATGCTAGAGCAGAAAGGCGGACGAAGAATTCGATATGGCTAGTGGACCGAGCCAAAGTAGCGGAAGTAGAACTCGATGTATCTATATAGCGGTATAATACTTATGCAATCATGTTATCGTGAGTGCGTGCCATCAAAAAAAAAAAGGACCATGGACTCAAACACCGTCCCCAGAATCTCTGCGCGCCCACGCAATGCATATATCAAATCCGACCGGGAGACGCCTCCGAATTACCTCCAAGTGACCAACGCCGCGCCAATATGCTTGTGAAGTACGATACAAAGCAGGAAAATCAAGTTGCCAGAGAAGATTAGTTCACATCCATACCGTCATCTTCCACCTCGTCCTCGCCGTCATCTTCCCCAGCAGTGAGAACGCCCGCGCTACCCAAGCTCCGCTTGCGGTTACTACCACCAAAGGAGCGGCCGGTAAGCTGGCTGAGCAGATCCAGATCTTCCCCACCAACGACACGCGCTTCTGGGGTAGCCTCACAACTAAGCTCAATCAAGCTTGCGGGACTGAGACTACGGTAGCCTGCTGTGCGGACGATTCTACCAAAGTTTTGCATACAGAACGTCGCAGCTCGCTGCTTGAGCCAGTCCTCTCCAGCAGTAGCAGCACGCTCCCAGATTGTGGCAGCGTGCTCGATGTCGAGCTCCCGGCCTAAACGGTTTACACAGAGCAGGCGAAGACGAGGCATGTCGTAGATGTTTGACATGACAAGCATGCCGGCCACATCGTTCAGGCTGGGTCCATTCTGCGGATTCGGCGCAATACTGTCGGTGTACAGGTAGAACAGGAACGCCCGAACTGCCGAGTATGGCTCAGGGATATGCATTTTCTTCGAATGGAACTCAGCCATCTGGGCGCTCCATAGACGGGCGAAATGAGGCCAACGAGCATGTAGAATGAGCTTGTGGACGTGTATCGGCCGCGAGACTGGATTTACAGCCGTTGACGAGCCATTGGGATCTAGTGTTGCAACATCCACATAATCATCATCATCAGGATCCGCCGTTATGATGAAGTCTGCGCCGCTGCCACTCTCCGGTGGTTGGTCGAACGTCAGGGACAGATCCGCACCAATGCCGGTGAGATGCGAAGAAACGTTGGCGTCAGAAGAGGGCATCATCTTGGAGCGCGTGTCCGAGGCCAGCTCGTTACCCAGGATGCCGTACTTGCGGAGGTCGATGGCGAGAACGTCGCTAAGATACTCACCATTATGGTTCCCATCGTTGGCCGACTCAATTGGGCTGCCCAGAAGCCATGCATGTGTTCCTTCAGGATTGGTGGTGCAATAGTGCCAGCGGTAGTTGGGGCTGTAAAGATCCTTTCCGTCGGCGAGCTTCTGCCATCGCAAAGTGTCTAGCTCCAGACTGGACAAGCTCGTCTCGCAACTCAGCTCTGCCGGGGTGACAAAGTCCAGCATGCAGCCAGATGAGAAGATGTGGAAATGCGTACCCGCGGCCTGTGATGGTAGATTTGGACTGGAATGGAACCTGAGAGACGAAATGGATCCAGGCGCAACATAGGGTGACCGACTTGAACCCATTCCGTGGTACGACTGAACGCTGGAATTTGCAGTGTAGCCTGTACTGCCGGTCGCGAGCTGGCCAGAAGCCGGGACAGGGTAACGATGTCGGGATGAGATGAGTTGCCGGTCGCCCGTCCCATATTTCATTGCATGGTCAAACTCTGGACTACCGCGGAGATCGAGCCACCAGATCTCATTGTTCTTTTCCATGTCATCGTTGATGCCGCCGAATATCCAGATGCGACCGTTCCAGATCCAGCTGGCGTGGTCGTAGCGAGGGACGAATTTCCATGTCCGAGACCAGGTCCATGTCTTCAGGTCAAGGTAGCAGATGTCGTCTAGCACGCTATCATGCCCAGTCTGGCCACCGCTGATGTACAATTTGTCGTCATATATAACAGCTGAGTGGCGTGCACGGCCGCGAGGTATGGGCCCGTGGAGTTCGGGCTGCGTCCAATGGGCGGTTTTGAGATCGAATACAATAACGTCGGCAAGATGCTGGCGGTGCTCGTTTTCTCCGCCAAATACGAGGAGCTTGTTGCCTTGCCAAAGGCATGCAGTGTGTCCTAGGATGGGGTGTCAGTCAAGATACAAGTACTGTGTGGAACTGGAGCGGTGAGCACGTACCCATGCGTACGCCTGGAATGTCGCCATAGTTGTCGACCAGGTTCCATTGCCGTGTAACGAGGTTCAAACGAAGCACGTGGTTGTATACTTCGTCGGTGTACTGGTCGAAGCCTCCAAAGGCGTATATCTGGTCATCGCCAACATATGTCACGGAGGCATTGACGAGACAGGCGGGCTTGGCGCCAATTGTCGAAATCATCTTGGGCTTGTAACCTTCTACGGCTGATCGACGGCTTCGGACGGGGCTCGCAGACATGAGGAACGTGTTGTTGGTGGAGCTGGCGGATCCGGGCGTGTTCGTATGCGAGAGGCTGGGCGAGGGTGTCGAGGTAAGGGCGGGGTTGAGGATGTTGGACGGGAAAGCGGATCGAGCAGGTGGTTGTGCCATGGATCGTGCGCGGTGAAGTTGGTGAAGTTGGTTTGGTGGTAGAAGCCCCAGTGGGCAGGGATGGCCTTTGTCTAGGCTGCGAGAATGTTTGACGGGAGGAAGTTGAGTTGGCTGGCCGTGCATATTGCCGCCCGTCACCGCCCTAGCTCGAACCGGAAGCGCCGACCCACGACGACTCAGCCCTGCCACGGCCACAGGAGTAGTAGCGAGCCACCCGAGAGTTGGCCACTGAGCACTAAGTTTTCCTAGATTCAATGCACAATTGGTAATACCTCGTCAGGCCATCAGTGGCAGTGAGTATGCGACCAGGTGCAACTATGCTGATGCGTCGCAGCCTGGCACGACGAGACACCATGAAGCCATAGCCATCATCGGGGCTGCACGCAAAAGCAAGGCCATGCGGAGGCACGGCGACTATGCAGGCTGATTCATAAACCGGACACCATCATGTGATGTCATGAGGCCAGTGTTCCGTCGCCCAGCCAGCCTCGCGCAGGGTCCTGTCTGGGTCCTGTCTCGGTTACCTGGTCAACGCAAGCGTAAACAAAGGATACTTAAACGTCCTCATACCTGCCCTCGTACATGTCCACTGCCACACACTCTACCAGCCGCACAACCCTGCATCTCCATCTCCAGAGTGCAAACCACTGAATTACTTTCGAATCCATACTTGACAGCATCGATTACAGCATTGTCTTATACTAATCCTTACAACATATAGCAGAAACCAACCCATATACTGTATGCCATCAACCAATGTCCACGTACTAAGAACCCAACTAACCCAGTTTAGCAAGAGACTAGCAGTCATGGCAAGCACAGCAGTCTGCGTGACTCCGGTCAAGAAGCGCTCTGCAGTCTTCAACACCCGTACCGCCGGCGGTCGGATACCACTGACACCCTCCCCTCGCACCCCACGCACTCAGACTTCCGATGTGCAGGCACACGAGTCGATCCATGGCAACGACTTCAAGTCCCGCATCCAGCGCTCCGTCACCAAGACCACCCGCGACTCCCCCAAGTCCAACATTGCTCGCTCCCACACACACACTCCCCGCCGGTTAGAACTCGGTGTATCAGAGTGGGCCCTCACTGGATCCGGTACTGCTGCCGCGGCCAAGGCAAAGAAGGAGAAGAAGGAGGCGGCGGCTGCTATTCGCGCTCGCCCTACCAAGACCCGCATTGCCTACAACGCTGCCGACCGTTTCATCCCCAACCGGACGGCAAGCGAGGGCATCCGCAGTGTCGGTGCCGCCAAGCTCGATGTTGAACAGCGCCCCAAGTCTAGCTCCAAGCAGGAGGGCTCAACCGTGCTTGCCAACGCCGCCAGTGCTTTCGATCTCGGTGGCCGTGGGTCAGAGGAAGACGTCACACTCTCCTTGGAGGGTCTGAGCCTCGAGGACGACGACGAGGAGAGCCGATCAAAATCAAAGCCTGCTCCTGGCCAGGCCGCATACCAGTCCACACTCGCCTCGGCATGTGGCATCAACACAAACACTCGCATTCTTGCTTTCAAGCCTGCCCCGCCTGAGTCGTCCAAGCCCATCGACCTTCGCTCGCAATACAACCGTCCCCTCAAGCCTACTAGCGCCGCCAATGCACAGAGCCGTCGTCGCATCCCATCAGCGCCTGAGCGCGTCCTCGATGCTCCTGGTCTTGTCGATGACTACTACCTCAACCTTCTTGACTGGTCTTCCGGTAACCAGGTCGCCATCGGTCTTGAGCGCTCAGTCTACGTCTGGTCTGCTGACTCCGGCTCAGTGGCCTCTCTCCTTGAGTGCCCTGCTGACACCTACATCTCATCCGTCAAGTGGTCTGGGGATGGTGCCTACGTTGGTGTTGGTCTCGGCACGGGCGAGGTTCAGATCTGGGATGTTGAGGAGCAGACCAAGCTTCGTAGCATGTTCGGCCACGAGACCCGTGTTGGTGTTATGGGATGGAACAAGCACATCCTCTCCACCGGTGCCCGCTCTGGTCTTGTGTACAACCACGACGTTCGCGTCGCACAACACAAGATTGCTGAGCTCGTCTCCCACACCGGAGAGGTCTGCGGTCTTGAGTGGCGCGCCGATGGTGCCCAGCTCGCTACTGGCGCCAACGACAACATGGTTAACATCTGGGATGCTCGCGCGCTTGCCGCTCCCAAGTTCACCAAGACCAACCACCGTGCTGCTGTCAAGGCTGTCTCATGGTGCCCATGGCAATCCAACCTGCTTGCCACCGGCGGTGGTTCCAACGACCGTCAAATCTACTTCTGGAACACCACTACTGGTGCTCGCATCAACCACATTCCTACCGACTCCCAGGTCACCAGCTTGCGCTGGAGCACCCACTACAAGGAGATTGTCAGCACTGGTGGCTTCCCCGACAACAGCTTGAGTGTCTGGAGCTACCCCTCTGGTGTCAAGAACCCTGAGATCCCTGCCCATGAGTCTCGTGTCCTCCACAGCTGCCTCAGCCCTGATGGTCAGATGCTTGCCACCGCCGCTGCCGACGAGTCCCTCAAGTTCTGGAAGATCTTTGAGAAGAAGCCCGGCCAGCCTTCCGTTGCCGCTGCTGGCTCTGCTTCCATGAAGCCCAGCGCCACCAAGCAGATGACCATCCGTTAGGTCACTACATTCGACCACAGAGTTCACATCGGACTTGTGAATTTAGAAGGAGTAGTAGGCTCAAATCATAAGTGTCTAGCACGGACATTACAACTACCGGCTTGCGCAATGGAGCTGGTGTTATTCATCCGACTCTACGCGCAACGGTAAGTTGGTAAGTATCACATCTCGTTTGGGTATGTGACGCGATCCTCTCCCCCATTTCACACGGGGAAGGCTTCTCCACATCTACCCTCGGAACATCTGTCAAGCGTACAACTGGGTCTTATCATGGCTTTTTTGTCCACATTCAGCAAGCGAGGCGTCTCGGAAGCATTGCAAGGCGTTGAGAATTTTATAACTGGCTTTTCGAGCGTCCCATGGACAACGAAGTTCATGACATTTACGAATATTGGGAAAAGACGGACTCGGTCTATAGTCTTTCGAGGGCGTTTCTTGTCATGGTTTAATCAATGCGCTTTGATGCGCTTGGAAAGGTGTTACATCTGGGAAGATGGGCAGGCGTTTGGTCTTGGATAAAATGAAAACATTAACATATTTGAACTTCTTCGAATCTTTTGCAATCATGGTACTATTACTGCAACAACCGACACTGCGGAGCTGTATTACGGTATTCACCATTCCCGAGAGACTTGCAATACTGCGTCAACGTCTTTCTACCTGTGCTTACTCCTTCACCATCTTCTCTTCCATGGCCTCAGGCGGCGTATCCGACCCTTCGCCCTCCACAATTTGGGGCCCCTTCCCAGGCTTCTTCCTGCCCGTGACATCGGCCCAAATTGACTTGAAAGTCCGAACACTAGTCTTTCTTCCCTCCCAAAGCGGATACAACCCGACTGCGAAACACGAACAAAACATCCACAGGATTCCGACTACAACCCAGCCTGTGAAGAACTTCTTGCTGAAGATGTACGAAGACCCGTACATAGGCATAGGCCACAGTACGAGGAAAGAGATCGCCATGAAGAGGGTCAGCCAGCGCGCGATACGCGAGGCTTTGAGTAACTTGGCCTGTTCTTGCTCCTCGGCTTGGATGGCGCGTCGTTGCTCACCAGGGATTCGTTCTATGTCGACATTTGCGGCGAGTGCGAGATCGTGGTCGTCGCCTCTGCGAATGGCTTTCATGCTCTGCCAATCGTAGTTTTGAGGGCCGAAGGCATATGTGAATACGGGAATGAAGATGATGGGCGAAAGCAGAGCGACGACGTTGCCTGCTAGCATGGGGTTGTTGGCACCGGTTGTGAGGACCGTCAACTCTCCGCTTTCCTTCTGGGCGGTTACGAGCCAGGCGACGAGAGAACAGGCGAAACCGAGGGGTGGGGTGAAGGTTGCTGCTACCCAATTCATTTTTGACCACATTAGTGTGAGGGTGGCGGGAAGAACGGCGGACGAGATGATTACGCCCATAAGTAGGTATAGATATCCCATACTGATGCCGATGTAGTAAAGTCCTGTGCTCCATGCTGCCATCGCGACAGCGAAGCCGACAACCATAGTGTGTGACATGTAGATGAGTTGCTTTCCGGTAGCTTTGGGATTAATATAAGTCTAGAGTGTGTCAGCGAATCATTTCTGTCTAGTGCAAAAGTATGGTTACCTGGTAGAAATCATATGTGAAGATCGAGGACACAGCGATGAGTTCCGCAGACATGGCCGATGTTACGGCCATGAAGACGAGAAGTAACACCGCTGCAGCGCCTCCTGATCCCATCAATGCAACAGCCGCTGTAGGCAACACAAGTCCAGCTGTCACGTTAGCATCAGCCATACGGTTGGGGTAGCCTGGGAAAACTGGGTTGTTTTCGAGGGCGATGGCACTGAGACCCATTGTGGTAGCAGCTAGCCAAGGAATCGCGAACCAGGACAAACCACCCATGATGTATCCGGGCAGCGCATCAACAGGACTGGCAGCAATGGCCTTGTTGTAGTAACCGTTGTCGCAAAAAACAGTACCGAAGTTACCCACGATGTTGATCACGAAGAAGATGGCACCTTCCTTCGAGCGCATGGTCAGATAAGAGCCACCGGCATTTCCTTCAACAGGATGATCCGATGCGGCTTGTACCAACAGGTCGAAAACTTTGCCAGGGCTCCCAAGATTCTCGTTGGTCGCATATGCTGTGAAAGCAAACATCAAGAGGATGATCAGAATGACCACGGTGTGTGCTGGAATTAGAATTTAGCGGTCCTCTCCTACAACTCAGGGTAGAGGAGACATACCATAGTCAGTCAAGAAGGTAGCCTTGATGCCTCCGAACATCGTGTATAACACTACACCAACTGGTAGAAGGAAACAGGCAGCTGCAGTGTGCATGCCAGTAAGCTTCACATGTTAGTTCGAGAACGGACTCACATTAGAAATACACTTACAGAAGTCACAACAGCAGAACCACCTGTCAACAACATAGAAGTAACAAGAATGTTGGTGAAGAGGCCAAAGACCATGAAAACAATATGTGTTACAGCACCATACCGAGCCCTGATAACCTCGAGGAACGTATGCGCGTTAGGAGCTCTTCGCTTTAGTTCGATAGCGATTGTAGCAAACAGAATAATTTGAACAGTGGCTCCCGAGGCGTACCAGAAAGGGCCGGATACACCATATCGATAGGCAACAGCGCTGGACTGGAGAAGTGTAGCTGCCCATGTCCAGGATGATACTACGGCTGAGGCAACAAGTCCTGATTTCACTGTACGACCAGCGGTTGAGAACATTTCGGAAGTTTGGAGCTCATAGTTGTATCTCTTGAGCACGAATGTCGTCAAGATCATGCCAAATCTATGACAATTTAGCGAAGGTCTTTTGAAAGGAGACATGACACTTACGAGAAGGCAAAACCTAAACCTATCACAATGCCATAGCCAAAACCTTGGCTCAGCGGCGGAGGTGTACTCATGTTGGGCGAGCACAAAAGACCCGAAGGTGGAAGGTTGTAGCAGTCAGCAAGTAGGGAGTGCTACACCAGAGGAGGTACGAGAAGCTTAAATATATTTAAGCTCACGACCAAGCACCGCTTCAAAGTCAATGCAAAAAGCTTCAGTCAGAGGCCGACGGCACAAAACGTTTAGATGAGGACGTCGACGAAGATAAAGCCAGAACACTACCGTTCATCTGCCGGTCGCACAAGGCAAGCATAGCCAGCCATAAGGCTAGCGTGCATAACGGCGGATGATAATTGACGTTGGCAGCGATCACGGCCGTTGTATTAGACTTTCTGCATGGTTCAGGCGGCTTTCGTGGGGTTGAGCAACAGCAGGGCGCATGTCTTGAGTGGAAACGATCTTCGCACCCCGGTATGGCCCGATAACGCGGCGGAACAATGTAGATAAGATGCGATTTTTTGTGTGACACCTTTTACTCAGCGCGAGCTGGGACCAATCGTAGATTCGTACGGCTTTGTGATTCTCCGGGTTGGGCAGCTAGCTGTTCGCGATAGATAGAGCGCAACCGTCAGGAGCTGCGAGCAGATTATGATATCAAGGGAGGCAAGTGTTCGCATACTTGCAGTACACTAGTCACGAACTGCGACAAGCCATAGGCCAAGCCTTAGCATCTCGATGACAAGATGCCGGAAAGACGTTGGAGGGCGGAAAAAGCGATTGTTGCTCTCTGTCAAGCTTCCAACGGCGATGTTAGCGTCTTCGCTTAACTGCCATCTGTGATCGGTTATTGGATGTCAACCACTTCTTATCTTTTTGGCGGGATTGCCAGCCCCAGATGCCAAATCGCGTTGGTATTGCATCTGATAGCGTTGGGGATTTTGACCGGGGACAGTCAGAGCAACCTCGTCGTTGACAGGTCGCTAATGCATCGTGCATCGAAATCTTTAGTAGCGCGTAATGAGCGTTGAACCCTAGTGCGCCATCTACACTGAGTGCAAAACACATGAGATATTTCCAGATTTTGTTGAACGATTGAGACGATGACATGCAGGTTGCTTGAGCGCACTGGCAGGGCGTCCGTGGTACGAAGGCGCTCTCTCAAGCTTGGAGAAGCAGGAGCGGATACCAGCACAGCTAACCGCACCTTCCTTCATGACCCAGTCTTATTTTACTAGAATCACAATATATTTCAACGCAGGCTCTCTCATAGGCGCAAACGACACTCTGGAAACATCAACGTCGTAATAGCCGCCACACTCATTGGCATACACTCATTGGCATTCACTCACCAATGGCTGCCATATCGCATCGACAACAGAGGGACGAAATAATATTTTGCACAAAACACGGAACGGTGTTTCTCCGATCCATAACCACATCTTCAATATTATGGCATCATTTTGTACAAGCGGACACGAGTTCAGAAGCGAGATTACAATGTTGTGAGGCTTGGAGGGACTACCACTTCTGGACACGCTAACCAAATTGAGGCAACATGTCGTGTGTAAAAGGGCGATGCCAAGGTAGCATTCTTGTCAAAGGGCGAAGAATTCAGGTCATAATGTGTCAATACCCCGTTATTTTGGATACAGAACATTCGTAGCACTTCTGTTTTTCAAAGCAATCATAGTTTTTGCGGAAGAATTTTTAAGTGAGGGTATTCATTCCTTATCAGGATCCATGTACTACTAGATGGGTATCTTCTACACCGAACAGCTTACTAACATAATATTTTAGGACCACCAAACAGTGGATCCTCAGCAATGCTCTGATTCATACGACTTCAGCTCGAAACCTATGAGCCTGAACTGAAGTTGGCTCCGTCAAGGACCACAAGTCCAGCAACCGATGCACTTGACAAGGTGGAGAAGACACCAGTGATAAGAGCCGATAGAGCAAGACGCGAGACATCACCGCTGCGACCGGGACTAATCTGACTGAGCACACCGATTTGAGTACCCAGTGAACCGATGTTACCGAAACCGCAGAGAGCGTAGGTAGCGATAAGGCGCGAGCGTGGGCTAAGGGTGTGGTAAGGGGACTTCGGGTCGTCATCGACAAGCGATTGGAATGCAACAAACTCGTTGGTAATGACCTTGACACCAATGAGACGAGCC